GCCAGCGAGGGATCCGTGGGGCTCTTCAGTCACGGTCAAGTGCTCCTATGAAGATGCAAGTGGTGCTTGGACCTCCAAATGACCCTCTGCACAGGCATATAATTCACTTCAGGAGTGCCGTGTGAGGACTGCACCCTTTATACTTATATTTATAATGAATAATTGTAAAAGTATTTTCCCATGCAAACGAAATATGAAATGAGAAGTCACGAAGCTGCTCAAACTTCTGGTCATCTGAACAGTTTTCCTTTGCCTGAACTGATAATCACCTGTGCTCAAGAGGCTGGGCGGGTTTCTCGTGGTCACCTGTTGCCTACCTATTACTGCTAAGAACAAGGAAAATCGTTCCCAGGCAGCATGCACAAGAAAAAAAAGGAAAAAAATAAAAATGTACCACATAATGATTATTAAAGCTCCATTCTTTCATTTGCAAGAACTCACATTTTATAGAAAGAAAAAATGAGTATCAGGAGATAAGGAACCGTTAATGAGCCCTCTGCCTTGGTTTCAATTACACTGTGAAATTAATTTAATGCACTTTAAGAATACAAGAGGTAATCGCTCTCTCTTCGTAAGAGGTTGCAATTTTCTCTAATAAAGTGTCAATATAAATACATTGCTTTAAGAGAGGGAGAACAAGTCAGTTAATTCAGAAAGAATGGGACATATTCAAACAAATGCTATCAAGGAAATCAAATCGCAAAACTAATAAATAAATAAACTGGCTGAATGAAACTTGTGTGGCAGAGAGCTGGTAAATTGGGGTTTAATTAGAAACTTATTTTTAAAGAGTGTTTTATGCTAATGATATGCATCCAAGTGATTAATGCTGTGAAAGATGACATTACTCCAGTAATTTAAAAAAGAGGAGTAGCCCATGTGAGGAGAGGTGTTTATGGCTGGAAGCAGCAAGAAATCTGAGACCAACGAATCTGAAAATAAATACATATGTAGATACAAAAGGTTAATAATGCTCGTGGACTTCAAACATGCTGGCAAAATGTGAAAGGGCTACACAGACTGGACAAACGCAGAGAGCTTTCTGATGGATTGCAAAGGCTGACAAGGCTGGATCAGCCAACTCTTACACCGAGACACTGGATGGAAGGAAACAAGATCAAGAGATGTTTGCCCATTTGGGTATCCACTAGCTCTGCTTTGGAGGATGCGCTACCAGAGTCACGACCTGGTGCTCCAAAACGCTGAACCCACCCGCCGGCACTTAGTAAGCCAATACGTAAAGATTTGGGAGATCTTTCCCGCAACCACAAGAATCAATTTGATCTAAGCAGGAGCAGCACACAGAAAACCACATGGAAGATTGCCGGAGAGGTAGGAGGCAGCTCCTGCGTGGAACTGAGCTGAACTGAAAAGAGGTCGATCTGAACAGTCTATTTCTTACTAAAAGAGAAGAAAAGAAAACTGGGAAATCTCCCAAATTCTCCTTAATGGACTAAAACACTTTTTAAAAGAGTTGTCTACTTTAATTTTCTTGGGTTTGAGGCAATGGGACATACAAAGCAAATTGCCTCCCAGCCTGTTGAAGCAGCGACAGTGGAACAGCCTTATGTGTCTCTCAAGTAATTAAAGCTACTCAGCTTCTGAACAGGTGCCTTGCAGCAACACCCAAGATGTGTTATAATCCCCCAGTAACACAGTGCCTAACACATTTTATTGCCTAATTACTCCCACACTCACGTTTAGTGCCCTTGTTAATCCAGCACTTCAGGAGAACACTTGCTTTACTTCAACATGTCTTGATCCTAATCTTCCTGTCGTCGGTGTAAATCAGAACTCATTTCACTAACGCTAATGGAGCTACCGCAGTGTCAAATGCCTAGGAATGGAAAAATCGGGCCTCTATCCCAAAATGAACGTTTAGTCTGGCACCAGCAGTATGTATTTATTTTCTTGCGTCAAAACAAAATATGCTTTTTCTCTGGTACCAACTCAAAGCAGAGCTTTTAAGCTGTCAGTGCTGAGATCAGCCTCAAGTCCCAAAAAGGTATTCTTTTCCTGACTCTTACCATAGACACCACAGTGCTATCTTTGCTAGCAGCTTGGATGATTCTGTTCAAGGCACACTACAGGTTCGCTCATCCTATCCTCAGAAAGACAATGATGCAAATAAAGGAGAACGCAGGGCAATGCCATTAAAGATAATCAATATAACGAGTAGACAGAAGACAGTGCAGACATAGGAGGTCAAATAGAACATCCCAGCTGTCAGGTCACAATATAATTGTAGTTTCCCAAGTGTGTCTCCATTGCCACACAGCGGAGAGAGGGCAGATGCGACACCCCTCTTCAAGGGCTGGGATGTGCGGTGTCCGAGCCCTTCTAGTGATACAGAGTTAATGTATGGTGGAAATTCAGCCTCGTGACATACAGAAATCTGAAACTAAGGGAAAGCTCCAGACCACCCGACTGCATTGCTCTGCTGTTGCTCAGCTGCTCACACCTCACACCAGTGCCAGCAATGGAAGGTATGTCGCATGTCGCCACGTGTTGCCTGCTCTAGTCGAGAGGTGGCGTCCCTGGCAGCAGGGAGGCTGCATTAAAATGATCTCTAAGGTCCCTTCCAGCTTAGGCCATTCTATGAGTCTATGACTACCATGACCACAAATTGGCTTGCGATGCTGCTTTGCTCATGAGCTGCAGGCAATACTGCACCTTTGAGGAGATAAAACAGCACAAAATCAGCCAGAGTTGTGCATATTGCAGAGTCCTTCCTAACGGTCAGGCACTGAGAAATAGCGGCATTGCAAGTCAGAGTGTGAGGACAAGAGGAAAAAAAAAGGAAACAAAATTTCCACACTCTATATACAGAAATAAGATATCTGCCTATAAATCAAAAGTGATATCCATTGAGATAGTGAGAATGAACACTAGAACTACCATCATTTCTTGTCCTTTTTGATTCATGTCAATCAAGAAAAACCCTAAAGAATAAGACCACGAAAAAGCAGTGGCTCTAGGCATCCTCAGGCCCTACTCATCTTTTTTATATCTCTTATCAAATTAACATTAGTAAGAGATCCTTTTAAAAAAGAGATGGCATTCAGAAAGAACAGAAAGAGGTTAGCTTATTGACTCTTCCTGGTGACCCAACAGGTTAATGAAAATTAAATCGGTTTGCAGAAGTCAACTCAAGGTCAAACACTTATGTGACATTTTTCTGAAGTACTAAAATCAGACAGTGCAAATCAAAAGGTCATGCAAGAACTTCAAGCTATGCAGGTTTTTATTTGAATAGTCACAGAGCACGGATCTTTCCTGCTGTATAACAACATTCTTCAAACAATTCCAGAAAAAGGAATAACTGAAACAGAAGAAACTACAGGTTTCCAAAAATGAATTAATCCAGTTTCTCTGATCTCATGAAGAGATCTCTCGCCCATGCTCTGCAAAAACCCTGGGGAGACTCATTTCACCCAGACTTGTCTTACCCAGTCCTACTCTTTCCACCACCAGAAAGCCAAAATGAGGTATTTGAAAAGGTCACATCACTACCAGCTGGAAAAAACTGAGGGGGAAGGAGGGGAGACTGAGACACATAGGATGTTTGTAACCCAGAGAAATGAGTTAAATACAGGTTTTACAAGGAACTTTTAAAAAGGAAAGCAACAAGAGGGTATGGGGAGCAGCAGAGCCACAGATGAAAAGGAGAAAGGGAAGAAATGGCTCATCCTCCTTGGCTTTCAGTGGTGACACAACTGCTTACAGCCCCACTGCAGTGAAAAGCGCTGCACAGAGGGGAAACTTCACAGAGCATCTGCCATCCAGGGCACAGCTTTCTGTAACAGACTGGGGGCTGTCTCCATGGGAAGATGGAAAAAGTCCTCTTCTGCTACCCAAACACTTAGCTGGGGCTTCTTTGGACCCTCCCAGCTCTTCTGTAAGTGCAGATGCAGAAGTGATTAGGAGAAAGTACTTGGAAGTAATTAACTTCTCCTTCTGTCGCAAGACAGAAGAGGGGGGGAAAGAATGGTAAAAGATGGGATGGTGCCTCAAAGAAAAAAAAAAAGTCATAGGTTCTTGCTGATTTTGTTTAACTTTTGAAAGCCTGCAGGCAGTAACACAGTTATTGGGCGTTACAGCAAGGCAGTGAGAACACAAGATGGTAACCCTAAGTTTTGGAAAGAGAGAGCTACCTGTAGCACCGCCTGTGGCAATTATCCTCTTATTTCCTTACAGCTCATTTTGAGACTATGGCATCTGTTGAGAAAGTCTTTTTTACAACTACTCCTCTGTGTTACAAGTAAATCGGTTTCTGACACCTTTGCTAGTAAAGTAGCCCCTGGGGTGATTTTCAAAGTCCTTAAAAGAGTTGTTAAAAGTAACTCTCAACTCCAAGAAGGAACTCAGACATTGTCATCACTGGTCCCTCAAGAGCTACAACCTTGTGAAGCAATGTGGGGATAGGAGCATTGCATCTGAACAATATTTGTCTTGGGCTTGCTCACTCTGGTCTATTTGACTTATCAGTTTGATGTTTTCTGAACAATCTGCAATGAAAATAAGAAACGTACTAGTTTGTTGAGTTACACCATTAAAATGGTGTGATATAAGAATTGCGTCCTGCTGTGGTCAAGGTTAGACTTAATGCGAGATCCCCTCTTACTTATCTACTTTATAGAGTTGCAGAGAGAATGAACTTGATAGGAAGTTAATGTTGCTTTTTTCAGTGATATTCTGGCAGAATCAGTGATATTCTGGGCAGAATCCCCAAGACAGAAAAGCTGTAGACAGAATAAGTGAAAGGAAGAACCAGAGAGACAGAGAAAGATACCCTGTCTTCAGAAAATAAGAGCCCACACATACAGTGGAGTGGTTCTGGAAGTTTCTGCCTTTGTACTCTTAAAAAAAATAAAAAAGAAAGAGAGAAAGAAAAAGAAGGAGGCTTGCTCTTTGAATAGTAACTGTAATCAAGTTGTGTCACCACTGCAGCTTTTACATTACTGGCATTATGCTTTGCAGGGAAATAGAGACCCACATACCTTTTGTTGCCAGCCGGACACAGTTGATTTTTGTTTCCTGAAAAATAATAAAAAAAAAATTACAGGAAAACATCAAGGTGTGTAATTTGCCCATCTACGATAAATATACATTCCTTTTAAAAGGTACAAATATAAACAAGCATTTTTCTTACACTTGATGTCTGAAAATGCCACCAACAGGTCTAGTTGCACAAAACACTCCCTACTAATGGATTTGTCCACAGCTGCTTCTGTAACTGTTGAGAAGTTGAGAGTGACAACATGCTTTTCCACACTCCATGTGTGAGTGATGGGTCCCCCGTAAGTGCCTGATGAACTAATAGAATTTACCAGTTAAATGGCCTGATCTGTAGTAGGCAGACAAGGCTTGGGTCACAAGTCCATGCAACTGTACATTTAATTTTCATGCACCATTACTGCAAACCCTGCAAATTGGGTATTTATTTAAACACATGGCAAACAGACACCGAAGTACTCATTTGAATATCTCAGCTCTCTGATATGTATGTGAAGCGAACCAGCAGCCTGTAGGGCCAGCTCTGCCAAATGAGCTGTTCAAACACAACCCACACCATCACGGTTTTTCATCATAGAGTCAGGACAAAACCCAACACTTTTGTTCAGTCAGCCTCAGAGCCTCCAGATCTGCGTAAACAGGAGTTTGGATCAGAACATCAATGTAGTATTTGCTTAACTACTGGCTCAAACACGGCTGTATCTGCTGAAAGCCTCTCCTTTCTGGTACCCCCAGCTCCTCATTCCCCAGCCCCTACTGATGTGGGTTGCTTCGGTCCAACACACGATTGTCGTCCAAATCCAAATGCGTTGCTTTGGTTAGAAAGCTTTGTCAAGCGGTAGTCTGCTGCAGGGTTTTTGTACCACTTCATGTCTTTACACGCTCTCGTACATGTCTCAGGTGTAACAAACACTGCATAAATTACTGTGTGTAACAATGCCACATTAATATGGATGCTGCCCGTGCTTTGGAAACAACAGCCCAGCAAACGCACCACAGAGCGCCTTGTTCCATCCTCAGACAGGAAGATGAACAGGCTGTGAATTTGCTCTTGGAGAAAAAAATCTGTTCCATCTGTGACAGAGCCTCCTTGGCCTGATCAGAAACATGTAGTACCACCGTGTCTTCTTCCATGCACGTCATTGCAAAGAAAAAATGGGACAAGGCAGGATCGACACTGGGAAATGTAAGAGCGATTCTCTCTCTGTGCTCGCCTTGAGATACCAGTGAGTCACGCTGTCTGGAGATAAGCAACCCTGTGCACAGTCTAGGAATGTCGAGATAGTCAGAAGGACAAACTGTCCCTTTGGTCTTGCCTTCCAACACTCTTAAGTAACTCCGGAGCATCAAGGACAGATCATGTCTATCAAGGACATCCCTTCTCAGTCACAGAGTCCCCAGAGCAGGACTGACACCCTATTCACCCCAGGAAACCAGAGGCATCTCTCTTTGGCACGCCAACCCTTCTCTCCCTCAAAAAACCAACTTCCCTTTCACAACCTGTACAACCGCCGGCACCGCAAACCCACCGCAGCTGCGCAACAGAGCTCCCCATTCATGCCTGCCTTGTGTATAATCAGTGCGAATTGCCAGCTATTCTGGAAATCCAGAATCTTTATTGCTAGTGATGATATACGAAGCAGGAAAAAACTCAGCTTTATTTTGAGAGCACAGACTCAGCACATAATGCTGGGAATTATAAGACAGATGTAGTTTACAGGCTACGACAAGGTGACCTGGAAAATCAGTGACGAAAAATAAACAAAATATATCGATTGCCTTTTTGCAGTCTAAAAGTAGGTGGATCGCTTGCTCAAGTTTTGCTGAGGAAAGTTTTCTTGTGCATTTGTTGCTTTCTGCTGGCTTCCAAGCGTACCAAAAAGCTAGAGAAATTAGTCAATGCTCAGAATAGAAGAGGTGAGAAAACAAAAACTGAAATCTTGTTACTGATGCTGTAACTGATCTCATTTGAGCATGTGCATCCTCCTGCCCATTACCCTCCCACAGGGTAATTTGAGAAGACAGGATGCAGTGCGTTCTGTTTGCATCCACATCTACTAATTGCTGCGTTTAGCACAGACGATCATAGTTATTAGAAGACCATGATCTGGCACTGCTAAAAGCAAGGGCAATCAATCACTAGAGGAACAAGACATCTGGATTTCAGAACTTCATTTCAAATTGCATCTTCTCAGAAGGAAAACATAAAAGAAACCTGCACAGATGCCAAGCATCCAGCTACTAGGGATGCTAAAGTTTAAAGACTTGAACTTAGTCCATATTCCTGATTAGGGCTGATTATTCCATCGATTTCCATGGATCACTTCATTGATCAACCCACTGCTCATGTCCTTGGTGTCTCATAAAAATGAGATCTCTTCAAAGAGGTACTTTGATTGATGCTGAGAATTGTGAGTTTGTATGAACTTTTCTACCAAGAAACATAAAAAAATACACATGGGTTTGGCTCCCTCCTCCCCTCAAAAAAACTTGCAGTAAAACCATTTTCCCACAGTCAGATTTGTTTTCTGAAAAATTGCTACTTTTAATTCAGGAAAGGTGGTTTCCTGTATACTGTAAAGATGCTTCTTTTCAGCCAATAGTAAAGCAGGAATAAACAATGTAAGTAATTCTCAGTAATCCATCCAGACGGTTTCAGGCAATTATAAGAAAAAGAATGAAATAAAGGAATAATAATAAAAAAATAGTAATACAAACCCCAAAATAATTTCCCCAAATTTCAGACTCTCTTGCTTCTGAAAATTCTTTCCAATGCTGTGATACCCAAGTCCCATATTATGGTATCCCAGAGGTTTTATAAAGCTTTATACAAATATAACAATCTTAATAATGACCCAAGATCCTACATATGCAGCACGAGGTATCTGTTTCGTATTATGGCTGAAGTCATGGGAATAACTTCATCTAAGGTCCCTGCAGCACTACTCCTTTGGCTCTCCATCACCGCCAGGTTAAGGCAGACATTTCAGATACTGCAGGAATACATCCTACAGCTCCAGATCCAACCTTCACTTTCCAACACGCTTCACACCCTGAAAGCTTTCTGTGCATTAAGCCCATCTATGTGTTTACCAGAGCATATTTATGCATGTTTGTTTCCAGGAATTCACTTCCATACGAATAAAACACGATTATAGTGTACCCTCACACTCAAGGCTGATTCTTGGCTAAATTTTCAAGTCCCTGCCCAATGGACACAGATCGTACAAGGACTGTGTTCCGGAGTGTTAGCAAGCTGTTGCTGGAAGCCAGCCCTGGACCCAGAGTTAGAATGAGCTGGAGACCCTCTTGGAGACCCTCTGAAGAGACCACGGGTTGTGCTGAGGAGCTGGGGAAGCCCCCGCTGTTGACACAGCTCACACACGCTGACTTGAAACTACATGCCCTCCTTCTGAACTTCCAGTTTTTTTAAAAACTTTCTTGTAATATAGTTTCTTTCTTTTTCGAAGAAAGGGAGCTGATGCCGTCTACTAATCACTTAGGTTCCTAACTGCATATCTTCACAACCTAGAAGGGCAAATGTTGGGTTTTTCCTCTTTTCTGTTAAAATGACAGCTTGCTGTTTACAGACTATGAACAATTAAAAAGAAAAAGTGGAGCTTTTTCATCCATCTGTTTTCACGCCCACAATTTTTGCCTCCCCTTACTAGTGTTATGACTTTGTATTAGTTAAACAGCACTTGCCTTGTCCAGAGAACCACCTGGCAGCACCAATGAGACCTGCTGTCCCCACATGGGCTGTTTGGGACTGCCTCACCACAGGCAGTTTTGTCAGGCAGCTCAAATAGGGGATGTGCAGGTTTAACTTTTGCTGGTGCACAGACAAGACAAGTAATTTTACCAGTCGACAACTTGGTCTCAGTTCCCTCTTTTTGCTGCCAATGTGCCAGAGTTAGACGGTGGGCACGCTTGTTGGCAACCGGCTTCACACAGGATAGAAATCGTGGTTCTGTTTACTGAACATCTTAAAGAATTACGTTTTTGGTCCTCCATAAATTTTGCCCAACTCCCCTATAATTTCTGTTGCCAGCTTAAGGAAACTGCTGGCACAGAAAACTCTTCACCGAGAGACTAAGCAAAACCTAGTATCGTCTTTCCATTTCCTATCTAGAAAACACTCGGGTCCACATAGTCTGGCCCAGTATGGCCAGCCAGATGTGGAAACAGGGTCTTAGCAAGAGTGTTCTGCAGGTACTTTGTCTCTTCCCCAGTAGCACCAAGGCTAAGAAGGAGTAAACCTAAATGAGAACAACTGTACCCCTGAAATCCTACTGAACACAGAGCTCCTGAAAGCTGTTTAACAGTTCACAGAAGCAACACAGGCAGCCTTGGTGCCTCTTCACTTGGCTTGTGCTGAAGTACCTCCTTGGATTTTTTTGTGGACCATCTCCAAAGGGATGAACGCCACCTCTCTGCAGGCAGCTCTCTCCATATCTTCAAAATGTCCCAGAAGAAAAATGTGTTCTACCATGAGAAATCCAGCCTGAAGTCCCCTGATAATAATGAACTGCCCAACTGTGCATGTAGTAGAAGTCATTAGAGAGGGAGGAAGAAAAAAGAAATCAATGAGAATCTCTGTAGAGTCTATCATTCCCTCAAAAATAATATTCTCATTGATTCCTGTGGTGCTACTTTTCACAATTCCAGACTGAACACATCACTCACCTGTTGGAGGAGCAGCTGGCAGCAGCCCCCCAGCCTCACCAGCTGCCTTTCAAAGGCTCCTGCCTCATCTCCCATTTAGAGGAAAAATGGCCAAGGGTTATTGATTGCACCTGTGTTGTTACAGATTTCATTTTAACTTGATGAGGTAAAACACAAGGGCATGAAGGGTTTTTAGGAGGCTCTTGTTTCTGAACTACTTGAAAATTCAGGCAAGTTTTGCACAGCAGCCAAAGAATTCTCCTCATTTGAGCAAGACTGTCACCTCCAATGACCTAGAGAGAAAAAACTGCAACATTTGACTACGAAGTCACTATAAGAATAAGAGAGGATAAGGAGTAACGTGGCATTGTCAGCCTGGCCTCCCCTTTCAGAGAGATAAACAGTGAAAGGGCTGGGAGTTTAAAGGCGGATGAGCTCAGGGCAGGGGTTCAGACAAGGAAAACTTCAGCTGCCGGTAGTGGGTGGCCCCTGGACAACCAGCAAACATCAGTTAACTGCCAAAGGAGAGTGAAGCAAGATGTCCATTCTTCTTCCTGTGTCACATCTGCTGCCAACTCCTTCTACCAACCGAACAGTAACTAAGAGCGCTTCTCACCCCCACAGCTACAAAGCCGGGAGCTTCTGTTTCCTTCTTCTCTTCCCTCCTCGCCCCTTACTTCAAACTCTGACACATTTCAGCTCTGCATCTGGCTTTCAACAGTCCCTAGGAGGCAAATTCACACGATTTGGAAGCGTTTTGTATAGCAAAGCTGAAAACCATTCTGCTTCACACATGTTCTATTTAGACCCCTGTCTGTAAGCAGCACCATATTGACCAAACTTCATGCAACTGTCCACAAAATAGAATTCAGGCAGCGCCAGCTCTCTCATTCAAAGTCTCAGACAGCAAGTACAACACTACACAAGAGAAGGCAGCAAAGCTTGTGATCTGATTTTGCAGCAATTTGCCATACTTGTTTTGCATCCAGCTGTTAATTATGCTCCTTTCACTGCAACAATCCTGGCTAATGGTTGCAGAGCAGACGAGAACACGGAATGAGCACAACCCCCCATATTTCGGGAGCTGAAACAATGCAGAACTCCTCTAACACTTCTAACTCCTCCTAATCAAGCTTTTTTTTTTGACCAAATTCAGAATGCTGCTTCAAAACAAGCTCTACCTGGAGTCCTACATTTTGAAAGGAAGATGTTCTGGTTCGTTGCACGAAGGTTTCTCATTGCAGGTTCCAGGTGTGGAAAGAAGTTTCATCATTCCACAACTGTCAGTGATTAATGAAACTACAGAATATCCTAATTAAAAAATGAGTGACAACATTCTGTTAAGGTCTTCAAGTGCAAGGGAACATAAGGCTGTATTTTAATGGTGCTAAACTGTTACCGTTTCAGAGTTTTTGCAGATGTGCATTATTAAAAATGCCACGTTGCAGCCATAACTATTAGCGGGCTTGACGAAGACCAGTCAAGGCTGCTCAGGTTATAGACACAAGTGAAAATCCAGAAATCTTAAATACAAGCTACTTCTGCAACAATTCTGGGAGCTTATTATTTACAGCTACAGAAGACTGTATGCAAATCAGATCTGAATGTTTGATGAGTGGGGCTTTGGGATTTTTATCATGAAACAAAAAGTATCACAGCTGCTCCTCTGAAGATCCATATTCCACTCTTTTTCCTCATAGCACTGCACTTCAAGGATATATAAGCAGATACTGTACAATTGCTTCCTCAAATAGGAGTCTGCTTTGTCTGGCAGGATCATTCTCACGCTGTCAAAAACCGTGTATTGTTTAACACAGACTCTTTTGATTATCGAAGTCCCTTACAGTCTTGTATTCCTACTGTATTCCTGCTCCTATTCTTGTAGTCCCAAACAGGCCGAGCAAGTCATCCTTCTTTTTGAGTCCTTATCAGCTTATATGTAGAGAGCATGATGCAACATGCCAGCTACAGAGATCCAGAGAAAGCAGGGACCACATGTTAGTGCTGCCTTAATCCAGAATGCCAAGGGAAGCCGACATTGCCACTCACATAACCCATTTATGGCCTATTATATTCTAGTTAAGCAAACAAAGGTTTTTTTTCTTCCCTGGGGATCCATTCACTAGCAATTAGCTATCACACAAGGGCAAACTAACCAGACACAGAAAGACATATACATATATTTCACAATTTCTGATATCAAGGCAAATCCGAAATTGAATTAATTGAGTAGCGCTGGAAGGAAACTCTATTGACTAGAAAGGAAACGAAGGTGAAAAACAACGCAGTGTTGAAGAGAATTGTGCTTGTCAGCCACACAGAAGAAACTCTGCAGGAGAATGGTGATAAATGAAGGTTGTAAACACCAAGATGTGTTGTGAACATTCGCTGGCATTGCTACTGTGTTAAACAATGTATGGTTCTCTGTGATCTGTGGCTGTGTTTTGTGTACAAAAGGCACTATCCCAAGTGAAGACCAAAGCCTACACCATTCACCTTTGATTGATTCTTCTAATTTTGCTCCTTCAGAGATGATGTCTTAGAGAATCTATCTATGTTAAAGTTATATTGATGAAAGCACTGGCAAGCACACTAATAAGAAACTCAGCTACTCAACTTCGTGATGCCACGTTAAAGCTATAAGGCTCTTTGTGAGACCAGAGTATAAAATTGTATCACATTATGTGATAATGAAAAACAATTAGGGGAGTCAAAGGGGAGGAAGTTGAATGATTTCTTAGTCTGGACCTGGCCTCTACCTGGTTAGCTGATCTGGCCCAAGACAGGGGAGTTAAAAGAGAAGGTCACAAACTATCCTAGGCTGGAACAGAAGACAAGGGAACAGGCCTTCCCTTTCCCTATGACAGGATCTTTTGGGGCAGTACGTGGCCACGATCTCAGTCTGAGAAGAGGGCAGGCTATGTTTGCTCTGCAGTTTCCATTTTAAGCTTAATATCACAGAGTAAGTACATGTAAGAATACAGTCCAGGCTATTCAAAACAAGCAAGACAGGCATGCGTATAGGCATCCATGCAGTTCAACTTACACAAGATGAAATTCCCGACTCTAAGTGCTACATTACGATGTGACTAAATGCAAGCCACAAGGTAATTCAACTTCATAGCTTTTGGGTAGTTCTCATCTCATAATTTATCCTCCAAAATCATAAGCATTGTGAACTGCAGATTACCAGGATATTGCAGTTAAATCTTTTAAAAGCACAACAGCTCCTACTCTGACATTCATGCGTATGCAAAGAAATAAAAGAATAAATCCAAATTCTAAACATTTTGCAAATCACATGCCAACATGTGCCTTTACAAAGTCTGGCTCCCCAACAGATTTCTCACTGGATCTAGAGAGACTTGAGTGAAGGACAAATAATGGTATACTTTAAACTTTCATCGACTTTCTGTAAGAGGATAACAACAAGGAGGAGTTAAACTGACATCCCATGAAGAAGGGAGGAGAAAGATGAGGAGGAGAGACAGAGGTGGTCATAGGTACAGATCCAATTGAATTTTCTCTGCACTTACTCCATTTGCCTTGCTAAGAGCCTGAAAATATATGCTGTAACTTTTCAGGGGAGAAAGTGGAGCATTCCAGTAGCCGTTGTAGGTTTTGTTGTCGCCCACTGTGAATGGCTGCGTGACGGGCAAGTTGATGGGCTTCAGCTCGGCTGCAAAGTAGTGTGGGGAGTCCAGACTGGAAGCGTTCTTGTAGCTCACTGGGACGGAGAAGCATTCGATGATGTCTGCAGCTCTCCGTGCTTTCTGCAGCTTCTCTTCCTTGACAACAAGTTGATAGACACTAGAAAGGAGAGAGGAAGGCAAGATTAGAGCCTAGAGATCCTTAAGTAGCAAGAACATTTCCAAAAATCAAAGGAAAAGAGTAAAGCAAAGTAAGGAATGCACAGCTAGGGCATTCCAGCAAACAGCTCTGGGCACACCAGTAATGGGCAGCAGCCACTGAGCAAGATGCTGATGACTCGCTCTGTTGACTTGCTTGAGTTAAGACAAACTCCGGTGAAAGTCAGAATACATTTCAATCATAACACTCTTTAGAAAAAGGAGTAACCTGCAATGAATTTGCAATGTGCTGAGCATTACAAAGCAGATGCTTTCTTCAGCCACCAAGTTGAAACGTGAACCATTTGCCTGGGCTAAGCAGCGAGTGCAAGTAGCAGAGAGCATTAACAGGTTGCAATGGTGTCAGATCTCTTTTCAAACAGTTTCAGGGTGCAAAAATCAAGTTAGATCAAAAGATTTGTCACATCTTCTAAGAACGTAACTTTTTTTGGCCCTCCCTCACATCTCTTTTTGGGATATATCCTCGGATGTAGAATTCGCTAACATTAGTTCCTGATAGCACGTCTCCTCCTATCCTCCATCACTAAAAGGCTGGTGACAGAGTGAGTAGGTGGCTTTATAGCTCTCCCAATTCACTTTTGTTTCAGGGAAAAGCAACAACAACTCTTCATATTCTTCCCAACTCTATGAAATGTTAATCCTTTACGACTCCTGCTAAGCTTTTAGCCTCTGATATGTAATAGCAATCTTGTTATTTCTAGCTCACTATTTCAGGCTCAAAGAGGTTGCGAGGCATTCAAATGCCCTCTGCTTCGCTTCCCCCCGCCCCCCCTCGGGCAGTTAACAAAGCCCTTCAGTTCAGTGCTGCTACAGCTGAGGCAGGTGTACTGTCTGCTTCACACCACTCACCCATTTGACAAAGAAAGATGCTGCTGCTGTCATTTTACTTTTTGTCAGGATATTCACACGTGCTGCCCTCACCTGTCTGTGTGAGACCGGTCCTTTGTTTAGCCAGACAGGGGAGATCGATTAAAAGATTGGAAACAGCCAGCAGTGTATCATTCTCCTGGCTTTCACAGGCTCATTGTGGCAGAAAGATTGGTCTGAAAAAATTCTAGCATAGCAATAGCTCATCAGTGCTTCTCTGGCACCTTCAACAAGCAGGAGCGAAACAAAACCTGGCTCCTGCTTTTGAATTAACTGTTACTTCAGGTCTTTGGGTATCTGGCACGCTCACTGTTAGCGATTGGGAGGTCAGTGAATCACTTGGAAATCATTTGGCTCCAACCACTAGACACAAAACCAACTAATCTTTACAAGTACAACCAATTTATGAATTACTCAGTACTGAAGTTGCCATTAAAGGAGGCTGCTACCACTGCTTGGTAATGCATCAGGAGCACGCACCAAATGCTGTGGACTGAGGCACTTCAGAAAACTTTCCTCAATCCTATGGCTCATTAGAGACTTTTGTAACAATTTTAGACCTTCTCTGATACTTCCTTTACCACTTTTAGAAAGATAAACAAGTGTCCCAGAAACACTTTAAGTGGGAGATGTCCCTGCCTGTGGCAGGGGGTTTGGAACTACATGATCTTTAAGGTCCCTTCCAACCCTGACAATTCTGTGATTACCATTGTGGATATAGCGGGAGCTGTAAGTAAAAACCTGTTTAACCTAAACCGTCTCCTCAGCTTAGCAATGGAAACTTGTGACTTGCCTTTTTGGACACTGTTTACTAAGAGACTATCTGCAGATTCTTAACCTGACCCTTCTCTCTGGTAATAATAATCCATACTAGTGGGAAAGTTTGTCATTTTGTTTGTAAGCAACATGCAGAACAGCAGCTGACAGTTTTATGGGCATCTGCCACATGCCTTTGAATCTAAAAAAGCTTGATTTTTATTTTATCCAATTCCAAACAGTTGTGGTTTTCATTTCTAGAAAACGTTTCCTTTATGTAAATAAATACATATGTATAAATGTACATTAATCTCCTTTTGGCCCATCCAGAGGCCAAGGGTTCCCTCTTCCTATCTCCATAGCCCTACAGTCCTAAGGCTGATGCTCATTCTCTTGGATATCCCCCTTGGAAGAACCAGTCCTGCCCACTTGTCTGTCTGCCAAGAAGGGGAAGCTCCCAGGAATACGTATGGACAGAGTCCTCTCCCTAATCATTAGAGAAGCTATTTACCTTTCGCAGTTTCAGCCTTGACAATTCTAACATATGCTCCACCAGTACAGGCACTCCTAACACAAGCATGAGTTTTGTTACATATAAAACCTAATGACAGATACTCTTTTGCCTGTATTCTTTCACATTTTTGCTTTCTTACTTAGCCATTAACTCACTTCTTCCCTTCATGGGGATACCTCACTCTTTTAAGGACCTGAAATTTTACTTTTAGTGTTTATTCTTTTGGAATAAATTGAGGTGTCTCTGGAAGCACAACGGTATGTTCACGAGCATTCAGCTGAAATGTGACAGATGTCCCACTTGTGTTCAAGTTAAAACCCCGTTAATCTCCTGCTCAAATACTGTCTCCCCTTTTCTAGGAAACAAGTATCTGAGCTAGTGCTGCTGTCATTGTTCCTGCCGTCTAGAAAACCTACTCTGGTGAAGCTTAGGATGAGTGACTGACTGCTTCCTTGGCATTTTTTTCCTTTACGCCACATGCTAATCTCTCTGTGCCCTTCCTGCTTGGTTTGGGGATCGTCATCCCTCAGCCTCACTCCTTTCTTGGAGTCTCAGTCACTTGGTACTGGTCGAATGGCCACTCTCACAGGAAGGGGTTAGGCGGCCAAGAGCATGGCTGATTTCAGATTACTCTGGACTGAAGATTACCACTTTGAGAAATCATTTCCATATCAAAGGATTACTCTGAGTCTCCCTTTCTGACACTTTGATGCCAGTATTTTAATCTGTCTAGACCCTCCAGAAGTGCAGGATTCACAGTTCGCCCCCAGCTAGTACACAGCCTGGTAGAGCCTTGTTTTCTGTTTTCTTCCTTTCTGCCGTATCTGTGATTTTCAAATTATGCTCTTTTCCTCGTGTTTTGTTATTACCTGGGAGCTGATTTTTCCTGACTGCCTTTAGGGCCATTTCAGAGCACAACTTCTCTGCAGTGAAGTGCTGCAAGGCACATTGAGTGCTTCCATACCCACTACCACCTGCATTAAGACACTCTCATAACTGTTTGCCTTTTCACTGGAGCAAAAAGCCAACGATCCTCCATCAAAAAAAAAGTCTTGTGGGAATTTAGAGTAGCAAGTGCGCAATTACCCATCCTAAAGTTTGGCCAAATCGTCTGCATTACGGCAACAATTCTCCAAAGAGTAAAAGTAATTCAGCTTTGCTCAGAAGATGGTAACTTTCATTGATACATGACGACCCCTAAGATTGCGGTCAGCCACTAACTCAAAATAAACTTGGTGAGAAGCATCGGCCCTTTGTCGTCTGCAAAAGCCCTTCAGCTGCAATCACATCTCTGTTTCGATGCCGAGCAGGGTCAACCATTTCAAACTTGTTAGAACTGACAATTGTGTAAGAAGCAGCAGCGTGATTACAATTCAGGGAAAGAAGGAGTAGTTTTCCAAAAAGAAGTGCTAGAGGGAAGGAAAAAAAACCCCACAAAACCCAAAAGTAAGCAATGGAAATAAGGAGGAGATATCCAAACTATTCTAATAGATCCAGGTAGGCAGGAATGTGGATCTCCCGGGGCTTTCCCTGCCTCAAGCTTTGAAGCTCCTGCTTTCAGTCAGTATCAGCTACCGCGGCTTTCAGAGCGGGGATCAATACATCAATTGCAAATGCCCAGCTGGACAAAAGAATGTTTCAGTGTCATACACTGAAATTATATTGGAAGAGACAACAAAAGCAGAGCAGTAGAACTCCCACCGCTACCTAACAACTTCAGTATCAATAAACTGAAAGATGATGCAGTAAAACTACCCACTAGCCTTCATTCTTTAATATCCGTTCACATTTGCAACTGAAGGCACGCATGCTCATGCTGCAGGGCAAGAGAAGCAGGAATCCCACATTCCCTCTGCTGAGCTACCCCACCCCACCTCGCTGCAGCCAAGTAATGCTGCTCTCACCTTAAATGACAGGAAAGGACAGGTTTGCAAACACTCTTAAGATCTGCTCTTCAGAAATTCCCAAACCCGGGCCCCTAACCGAATGCCTGACTTCCTGGAAGGCTGGGGAGCTCAACGCCCAGTCATGTTGCTGAACACCTTTCTTAGAAAAGGCCAAAACTGGGCTCCTTGACAAATTTCATAGATGTCATATAGATAAATCCACATTACTTTAATAGAAGCTTTTAAAACTTTTTCACAGCTTTGTTTTAAATCACTGATAAAAGCACCAGCCATAACAGTCACCACAGCACAAATGTTGTCTGCAGAGGAAGAAGATGAGTTCTTATCGTCATCTAGTAGGTAATCTTTTAAATGACGAGTTCTGTATTGGGTGTAAGCCTGAGCATGGACAATCAACATTCCAAATCACAGTCTGTTTCTGCGTGACTGAGGTCTCTCTGAGTTCTGCTGCATTTCCCCTTCTCCTGCTCTTGATTTCTTTTTTGTGCTGCTTCCAACACATTTGGAGGATGGACTGAGGAAGCTCTTGCCCACAAACCCAGCCATGTCTTTACACCAGAGTCAGGTTCTGAATGCAGGATGTGCATGGGTGTGGAGGAAAAAACCTGAGTCAGAGCCTTCCATAAAGGATTCAGCATCTGGTCACTGCACTTTGGTATCCTGACATGGCACTTATCAACAAGGTGAGATCTTCACTATACCTCTGATAATGGTAGGGTATGAAAAGGAGTAGAAATTCTTTGTAAACTTACAGTGATCCCCTCGGCTGACTTATTAAAGCTTAAAAGAAACAATGCCTCTGCAGCTCAATATTCCCTCCAGATCAATTCTGGTACTAAATTTTCTTAAATGTATCATATAACATTTCATATCTTTTCATTTTAGTATTTAAGACAT